CTCACCCACTAAATTAATGCGAATGAAATGAATTTAAACGTAATGGTAAATAAGTATTTATGATCATGATTTGTGAATTTGTTTTGCTGTTTTTAATTCCATTGATTAATAAATGTTCTTTATACTCACGTCCTGAGTGAGGTGATTAATGCGAATGAAATGAATTTAAACGTAATGGTAAATAAGTATTTATGATCATGATTTGTGAACTTGGTTTGTTGTTTTTAATTCCATTGATTAATAGATGTTCTTTATACTCACCGACTAAATTAATGCGTATGTAATAATATGAAGGGTAAATATTTATGTTCTTGACTTGAGGAATTCTTTTTCCAATTTTATTCCAATGATTGATGAATAATTTTTATACTCACAAACTAAATGAATGCGGATAAAATGATTAGAATGGTATTATGTAATGGTAAGTATTTATGTTTCAGATTTGTGAAATTGTTTGCATATTTTGTCCAACGGCCTCTTTATACTCACATACTATACGAAATTATTAATTTGAATGAAGTGATATTACATAATAGTAAAGTAATTATGTTTTAATTTGAATGAACTTGTTTTGCCGATTTAATTCTAATGGTTAAAATAATTATCTTCATACTCACGGGCTAATTACATGAAAGTTAAATATATATTTATAAATTTAAACTAATATGTAAATTAATAGATGCTTACTCCCTGATAATTAGATAATTAAAATTGTTTAAGATATACCCAATTTTTATGTAGAGAAATTACAATTTAAAAATTAAAATTAGCTTACTTTTTAATCCATTCAACATACTTCTGATTATCCTTTTTCACGCCAATCCCATAATAACAACAAATAGCAGTTTTATAGATTCCATTAATATGATCCATTTCGGCAGATTTTTGGTAATATTCAAACGCCTTGTGCTTATTCTTTTCAACCCCAATTCCTAGGTAATAACAATATCCAACTTGGTACATTCCATTAGAATTATTCATATCTGCTGATTTTTGATAATGAACGAATGCTTTGTTTTCATCCTTTTCAACACCAATTCCGTATTCATAACAATAGCCAAGTCTGTATAATCCATCTGGATCGTTCGTATTTGCTGATTTTTGACAATTAATAAAATTCATTTGAACAATATCTTCTACTAATCGTTCTTTTAAGTCTTCAGTTTCAATTTTTTGTTTACAAACAAGTCAAATTAATGTGTGTTTTACCGATGCTGTATATTTATACTTGCAGTGATTACACAACATAACACGTAATAATATATCTTAAATTGCAAAGAATGACAATTTCTGCCAATGATTTTATACACACTCTGGAAGTGCTGCATAATCTACGTAGTACAACTAATAGATATACGTACGTACGTACGTATTAGGTTGCGTGATACTTAAAACTACCCCAACAGCACCACCAAAAATTTTCGGTTCCACAATATTTTGGCCAATAAAATTGCGTGCATATGATGTAGATCAATACATAAATTTTTTTTTTTTTTACAAATTAAACAAAGATACCTGATACTCACCGAACCAAACCCAATGAAAATTTTTTATATTAGCTCTATGAATGTGCAGAATCAAATTAAAAAAATTTTATCGAATTTGGTTTGTTGGTTGTTGAGATATCTTCGATCAAAGTTTAATCGCAACTTGAATTTTAATAAACATTTTAATTTATTGGCAAATTTTGAACGAAGATATCTCAACAACTTCAAACCAAATTTGATAAAATGGTTTCTTATTTTAATTCTATGAATATGTAAAATCAAAAAACAAAAAGTTTATCGAATCTGGTTTGTTGATTTTCGAGATATCTTCGTTCAAAATTTAAAAAAAATTCTACTATGACTTAGATTTTTATCGTTTTAATTTATTAACAAACTTCGAGATAATTATTAGAAAATGTCAATTTAATTTCAATGTTTAGTCTGCTTTTGATTCTAAACTAATAATAATTAAACGCATAAATTTATATACGTTCAATAACATGGCCACATACAATAAATTTAATTAAGCGCCCACCAATTATGTTTTATTTAACATAATGAAAAAAATCGATTACAGCAATATTTTTTCTGAAAACAACTTAGTGATATATATACTAAATCAAAGTTTTTAGTGGCTGCTTTCAAAGTTCATCCAAGAAAATCGCAGCTTTTTAATTGTTATCACAAATTGTGTGTTGGGGTAGTTGTCTTTCCATCGTCTTCCTTAAATATCCATTATTATGTTTATAGATTAAAATTTGAATTGATAAACAACATACATCTTATTAGTAATTTAAAAACATTGTATGTTGATTATGATCTTTCCAGGTACACGGGTTGGTTAGTCTTCTTCTGTAAGATTGAATATCCGTTACTAAACTTTGTATGCCTTTAAAACTTCCTTGAACAGACCATGCCCATTGTATATTATTAGCGTTTTCTTGTTCTTGCACAATTTTAAGTGCATCAAGAAGTACGGGTTTATATTCTTCAAATAGCTACGTTGGTTCATCATTATTTTCATTTGAATTATCGATTTTCATAATATTATCTATTTAAAAATATACGCACATATTTGGGTCTTTATATTAATTGTTACAAATTCGAGTTATAATATGGAGGAATATAATCTTACCTGCATTAGAATGCATTGTTTGTGTAGACATCAATTGAACTTCATTATCTTTATGATCAATTGAATTAGTAATTATCATAGTATCGCTTACTTAAATAAATAAAATTAAAATTAAAACAAGTTTTAACCTGTATTAGAGTGCATTAATGGTGTAGATGTAAATTGAACTTCATTAATTGAATTGGTAATTATAGTATCATCTATTTGAATAAATAAACATATTTAGTATTGATTTTTATTTTATAAAATTTCATCAAGCAAAAATCGAATATGGAAAAAACAAGTTTTAATTTGTAAGAACTTGATTTACCTGTATTAGAGTCTTGTTGCGATGATAAAAATTGAAAAGGATAAACTTCTTGCCGCTAAACATTCTTAAAAAAAGATATATTGATTGTAAACTGAGATGCTTGAATTAAATGTTTGCACAAAAAAAATTAATTGATTAAAAATCCTTGACATCCACAAATCCACTTTTCAACGTCAGTTATGTAATGATTAATTTGCTTTTTGCTTAACATAATCTATTCTTTTTTTAAGTTTTTTTGCCAAGAAGGCATTTCACGTTTATAATAATATTTATTATATTGTTGTCTATGGTGTGGGATTAAACAAGTAACAATGTTATATGTTAACAAATCAAGACGTGGTCTAAAAAATTTTGGCAAGAAATCCCGCTTAAGAACTTTCTAATGAGATTCACATAACATAGTAGTATGAAATATGCAAATATTTTTTATGCAGAACGGGCCCACAGATTCGAGATTTCTTTACGGTACCAGTGTTCTCACAAATAAGTCCAAAGAAGTCTTAAATCGAGATTAACACAAAGCTCATAAATTTGTTTTGTCGATTGTTTCCAAATTTTACTTGCTGATAAATAAAACCCACTAGCATTTGGAATTAATGGATAAAGATGCATGTGAGTTTCCATATCTATAATCTTAGAATGCAACTCTTTAGGACAAAAGCAAAAGCTTTTTTTTTGTGCTGATATTAGTTGTGATGGTGGTGTTAAATAAAATTCAATATTAAATGTTTGGTGTGCTGAAGACAAACTATAATTAATTATTTTTGGATATATATTATCTGCAAGTCATTTTTTAAGAGCTTTCTTCAAATGCCAATAACACAGTTGAATTTTGATGTTCAACCAAGTTTTTAGCATAGCTGAAATTTGTGTGAAATCTTTGTCACTTAAAAAAAAAACAAACATTCTTTAACCCTAAATTGAATAAAGATTCAAAAAATAAAGTTAAAATGTCTGTTCGTGCACCATCATTTTTTTTAAACCCCTCAATAAACAAATATGCAAGTGCAAATCCAGAACCATTATAGTGACCAATAACTGAATACAACTCATATCCTAAAGCATTTGTTTTATATGTTGCATCCGTAATTATTTCCTTATTATTTTTTAACTAGCAATGTGTTGTATAGGCGACTTCATCACCCGGTTGTAGCTTTGAGTGAATAGAAGATTTAGTATATAGCATATTTAGTACAAATGTATATTAAGAAAGTTGTGATTAATAAGGTAATATTAAAACAATTTACTATTGT